TGCCCACCTCTAGCTTTCTTGGCTTTCTCCCTCCCACCTCTCCACATGGGTGCTGATAGAGTCTTCCAGGATATGGGTTACTCAGGGCTCCTTTTCGAGGCTAGAGCAACCTTCCTGGTGGGCGGTGTGTGGCTCTGAAGGAACCTCAGATATGCTGTTGAGCCTTTTCTAGGTCTCTATCTCATCTGGATGAGGTAGGGTTCCCTTTTGTAGGCACGTCTCCCCAGAACCTACCCACCTCTTTTTGTTTGAAGGCCTTGGAGGTCAGCCCTGGGTAGGTCCAACAAGGCTTGACTTTATCTCCAGGGACATTTGGGGGCACTGCGTAGCATCTCCGAGGCCCAGTTCCTCCTTCTCACTGCCTCAGGCTCCTCCAGGGATCCATGGCCTCCTGCCGGGCAGCAGTGGGTTGGAGGCCGCCCAGTCCCCCCCAGAGGGAGCCATAGGATCCCATACACAGCTTGCCCTAGGACACAGTGTGTGGCCACAGACGGCATGGCTGCCAGCCCCAGCCTGGGAGTCTCCACATGAGCTATGCAGTGAAGAATGTGACTGTGGGAAACCCAATGCCCTAGGCCAACAGGGCTGGGCAGGAGTGGGTGTGAGGGGTGGACAGGCAGAGACCCCAGCAGTGGCATCCTATGAAGCCTGGCTGTTTACAGGACCCCACTAGGCACCCCCTCTGCCCCCAGTTTTTCTCACCTGCCAGCTGAGCCTTTCTTAGATGCTGTCACCTCTGATTACTCAGTACCTACTGCAGGAAGCCTTTCCAAAAGGGGCACTCCGAAAGTCCCCCTATGCCCTTCCAACATACAGAGCAGCACATTGGTTACAAAGGTGTCCTGGGGGGTTCCTCCTGTGGCAGTCAGACCCTGGCCTCCTGAGGTGAGGGAACACTGTTAGCCACACGATTAACTACCTCCTGCCTGGGATTTTGGTCCGCGAGCTGCCCATATTGCCCAAGGCAAGGGCATGCTGGGTTTTCTTCCCTGGAGCCTTCTCTGGGCCAGGTATGTGGACCGAGGGAGTGTGATAGAAAGGTTGTCTGTGCATGCCTTCCTGTGCATGCGTCCCTTCTGAAGACACGCTGGTGAGGTAGGGAACTGCTGAAGGCTGACAGCCGAGAAGGTGCCCATGCTTCTGCAGTGACTAAAATGAAGGAAGATCTTAAGGATAGCAGGATGTGTCAAGCGGGAAGCACAGGCAGTGCAAAGGCCCTGTGGCAGAAGGAAGAAGATGGACGCAAGGCATTTAAGGAAACTAGAGGGGAAGGAGTGGAGGTTTGGATGAGGAATTGTTTCCCACAGCACTGGAGAAGTGACAGTTAAGTAAATAGACACTGAACGCCAGGTACCTGCCGAGGACTGTGCGGATGTTTTCTGGTTTAATTTTTTAAAACAATGTTTCTAAATGAGGGGTACTGCCCCTCTCTTGAGTGACATATGACAGTGTCTGGAGACATTTCAGCAGTCATAACTAAGTGGTACTCATACCTAACTAGGTGACTAGGGATGCTTTAATCATGCTTAGGACACCAGTGGCCTCACCACTGGGAATCACCAGAGTGGTCACAAAACCAAAGTTAAACTCCCTGTATCTCTCACAGATGAAAGCCAAGATCTCAGGAACCCGCCATCGGCCATGCCAGCTGCCTTTCCTCAATCCACTCTGGGAACTCCAGGCACAGGGCTTGTCCTTCTGTCTTACTGTAATTGCACATGGCCTGGGCATGGTCCTCAGTGAGCATCATCAGCTAGAACACGAATCTTTACCCTGGTTTCTGTCCTCTGACTTGAAAGTTCCCAGCATCCAGCCCTGGGGATGGTCCCTGGATCGGAGTACTACACAGTAATGATGGTGAAGGCAGGCTGTTGCCCATCAGCTGACCAGCGCCGGCGTTGCTGTGCCTCCTCTCACATGCGGCCTCAGATGGTGTCTGTTTGGGCTCCTTCCCTCAGCTTGGCCCTGAGAACTGCTTTAGCTCTGGTCCTCCCTCTGGAGAAAGATGCTTTTCAGGAGGGGGCAAGCCTTGTCCCAGGGTAGAGCCACTGGCTCAGGGAATGTCCCTGGGCTCTCACTGTGCCAAGCATTGCTGGAGGTGCCCGGTTGTTGTGGTACCTGGAGCTCGCACTGAGCTTGAGCAGAATATTTGGTATATTAACCAGCATATCACACGTCAGTGTCATGGAAAGCAGCAAAGCCGTACGAGGTCTGTGAGATCCCTTTAGGGTGTGCGGAAGTGCTGTGAGGGCGTGTTTCAGAGTGGGTGTCCATGGCCCCTTTGATAGGTGATGATATCTGCTTGAGTGGTGTCTGTGGGCTGAGAAAGGGGTCTCAGGGTGTCCTTGCTGTTTGAACATGAGTGGGGTGCTAGTGTCAGGATGTCACCCCTGTAAAGCCCCAATTCAACGCCTACCGAAGTCGAGTAAGAAGGACGGCTTTCCCTCTGTTCCCAGACATTAATGGGGATCTGTTTAGGGTGATGTCCAGACCCTGGGAGGGTCAGTGGCCATGAGATGTAAAGACACTGACCAGCTAGCCCCCCCCCCCCCGTGTGTGTGTGTGTGTGTGTGTGTGTGTGTGTGTGTGTGTGTGTGTAGCTGCCCAGTGGGTGAGTCAGAGCCAGGCTGGGTTCTGCCTTGTCCCTCTGTCTGGCTCTAAGAGTGTATCTGACCTGCCTCTTGAAGTGCTTTCCCTCACTAATGCCTGCCCAAACCCGAGACAGGGGAAGGTGAAAGGTAGGACCACACTGATCAGATGGGGATGGCTGGAGGTCCCTAGGGACCCTATGATGTGGCTGGGCCCTCCTTGGGAGACAGGACAGGTCAGAGAACTCAGGCCCCATGTAGGACACTACAAGAGGAATTCTAATAGGCCCTGAGCTAGGCCTGGAATACCTGGCCCAGCCGCTGTGTAAGTCCCAGGGAGGGAACACCTCTTCTGATCTCAGGCTGCAGACTCAGTGCTTGCCTATGGACCCAGAAAGTGCTCCCAGAGGCTCAGGGGGGGCACTGTGAAGGGGTGGGAAGGGAGGTACAAAGGGTGTGTGCACTGGGAAGGGGTGGGAAGGGAGGTACAAAGTGTGTGTGCACTGGGAAGGGGTGGGAAGGGAGGTACAAAGTGTGTGTGCACTGTGAAGGGGTGGGAAGGGGGGGTACAAAGTGTGTGTGCACTGTGAAGGGATGGGAAGGGAGGTACAAAGTGTGTGTGCACTGGGAGCTCAGTAAACAGTGATGCATTGTGAGTACGGTGAGGTGGGCAACTTTCCACAACAACTGCGTGGACTCATCCAGTCCCCTGCCTGCTTGTAGGACACCTGTGTGTGGCTAGGCTGGGGACAAGGGGCTGGAGTCCTGTACTGTCCATCCCCAGAAACGCTTGCTCGCTGCTCCTCATTTCAGCAGTGGAAGGAGCATCAAGGGGTGTGTGTGTGTGTGTGTGTGTGTGTGTGTGTGTGTGTGTGTGTGTGTTTGTGTGTGTGTGTTGCATGTATGAAGTGCACTGTTGTGCCCAGTGTCCTGACCTGCTTTCCCTTGTGTCCTTGTCACTGTGCCTGTCTTTTTACTAAGCCCCGAAGGCTTGCTCCTGCGCCGGTCTCCCTAAGCCCAGACACCCTGTAACCAGTAGGGGAGCCCTATGGCAATCAGATGCTAGACTCAGTGCCTATTCTGGAAACAGGGTACCAGTGTGGCAGGGCACAGGCCAAGTGCTTTGCTTCTCCTGAGGGGACCCCAGGACTCCTGGGATCTATACCTGCCTGGGAGGCAGGATCCTAGATGTGACGGGGTCTTAACCTGTCTATTGTGTAACACCCTCTGTGTTATTGTGTGTGTGTGTGTGTGTGTGTGTGTGTGTGTGTGTGTGTGTGTGTATGTGAGGGAGTGGTGTTTGGTGTGTGTGTGTGTGTGTGTGTGTGTGTGTGTGTGTGTGTGTGTGTGTGTGAGAGAGAGAGAGAGAGAGAGGTGTGGTGTGTATGTGTGTGTGCATGTATAGTCTGGAAAGCAACCTCAGGGGGTATTCCTCAGGAGCCAACTACCTTGTTTTTTAAGACAGAGTTTCTCACTGGCCTAGGGCTTGCAATTAGGCTAGGCTGCCTGTCTGTCCTAGCACTGGGATACAGATGTGGGCTACCACATCTGGCATTTTTATGTGGGTTCTAAAGATCAAATTCACATCTTCATGTGTGTGAGGCAGGCACTTTACTGACTGAACCACTCCTGGAATAATTCTGAACAAATAGGAGTATATATATGAACACCCTTGCTCCCCGAGCCTAGCTACATACAGCATAGCTTCTGGCGTCCACCCCCACAGCCTGTGCCTTACTTCCTTCAGATCAGGACTTGCTAGCATTCTTTGAGGACATACTGTGTGCCAGGTGGCATCCTAAGAGCTACTGTCTATCTTTAATAGGCACAGCAACTTTCTGAGCTGAGCACTGTATATTTATCTCTGATATACAAAAATGGACTCAGAGAAGTTAAGCAACTTGTCTGAAGTCACAGAGACAGTTAGTGACAGGCTGCATCAGAGTTCAAGTGATCCAGTTTTAGAGCCATATTGAAACTGTGGCCAAAGGAAGTGGAGGGGTGCCACGGTACTCTCCCTGTCTTCTCACCACTGGGAGGGGCCCAATGGTGAGAAGCAGAGCCCATGCAGCTGCAGCAGGGCCTTGATGCATATCCTGGGACAGCAGAGGAACATGTTCCTCCTGCATGTGTGGCGTGGGCCTTTTGCAAGGACAGAACACATGGGGAGCATGGCCTGCCTGAAGCCCAGGCCTGGGTTGAGGGCAGCAAGTCTCAGTGTCAGATGGGAGAGATGGGGCAAATTGCTCACTCTGACCCTCAGGTATAGCTCTCTGAAGGATCCACACCCAGAGCTGCTTCTGGCTTGGAGGTCTGTGTGTCCAGAGTAGGAGGACTGGCATCCAGGGGCTACTTGGAGCAGAAATCCAGGGTCAATTTTCTGCTGTGCCCTGACAAGCCTTGTGTCCCCAGGGTGGCATGGTGGATGACAGTAGTGGAGATTCCATGTCCGTCTCTACCCTGAGCTTCGGCGTTAACAGACCCACGATCTCCTGCATCTTTGACTGTAAGTTACACTTGATGGCATCTGAGTGTGTATGCGCAATGGCACACTTGGAGTGGTGTTCCGTAGTCAGGAGTGTGTATGTTGAGGGCTTTTAGGCCAGCCAGGTCTTTTTGTATGTGTGCCTATGTCCATGTGGTCCTTGGTGTCTGTGTGTTGGAGATGGGGTGTGTGCGTTCAGGTTCCTGTCACCGTGGGTTTGGCCTCCCCCTCTTCCCCTGTCTCTCTCCTTGGGATTGGATAGACTCAGAAGGTGCAAGCTGCTGCCTCTGAGCTAGACTATGTCCTCCTAACTGGAAGAGGCTCACTCTGCATGATGGCTGTCGCCATTTCCACATTCAGCCAGAGTCTGCTGCCCTTCCTGGGGCAGACCCTCCTCTTCCTGTAGCTCCAGCCCTTAGCAACCCTATTTATCACATGGCATCTCTGTTTCCTCCTGAGTGAAGATGGGAACCGCTACCATCTGCGTTGCTACCTGTACCAGGCCCGAGACCTGCCAGCCATGGACAAAGACTCCTTCTCAGGTAGGTGGACAAAGGGGAGGAGCTGGAACTCCCAGTGGGAGGGTTCAAAGTGTGTGCTGTGGTTGGCAGGATCCTTGGGTCTTGACTTCAGTGAGTGCTAGATACTGTTTCCAGGTCCCGGTGCCTCCTGCTCATCAGGACAGCTGCCCCTCATGTGAGACCTCAGCAGGATTTGACTTAGCTGATTGTCCCTTCCTTCCCAGGGGCCATTCTTCGTCAGATCTCTAGTGATGTCTTTCTCTATGCAGGTCACTCTGTGCAGACCCAGCTCCCTGAGGCCCCTACCTTCCCAGACCCAGCTCCCTGAGGTCCTTGCCCTCCCAGATCCAGCTTCTGGAGGTCTGATCCATCCTAGACCCAGATCCCAGGCCCTGATACTCCTGACCCAGCTGCTGTATTGCCTGCTTGGCCTGGAGTCCTTTATGGAAGACAGTTCCGTGCATCTTTGCTTCAGTAGCACGCTTGCTCTACTCTTTCTTATCCAGGTCACTCGGTTTCCTGCCCTCCTTGTTCCTTTCCACACTGCCCCAAACACAACTGGACTTCTTACTCCCTTGTTTTGAAGCACAGACCCCGACAGATGCACCTGCCACGCTTGCCCTATCCGAGGAGCCTTTGGAGGTGTGGGGCCTGGGGTCCCACCAGTTTCATCTTTGCTGGCACTCTTGCCCGTGAGCCCCAGCCCCACCAGCTTTGATCCACAAGCGCCAGCCTCCTCCTGCATGTGCCTGGCCTTGGCATTTGATTCCTTCTCAACCTAGAGTGCATTTCTTCCTCGATTTCAACTTCAGGACCCAGACCACATGTCCTCTGATTCCCCCAAGCTGTGTTGGCCACTCCTTCCCCGCTGCGTGACACCTCTCCATTACAGTTCTCTGCGTCCTTATCCACTGTGGGGCTCAGTTGTGGTCTGTCCGCTGCAGTCTTCCCATCATCTGGGTGCTCACACAGGGACGTGCCTTGTTTTCCCTCTGAACCTTCATTGCTGGACATTGAGCACCACTGTGTACCTAGGCAGACACTGACGGTCAGGTGTCCCACCTCCTTATTTTATAGGTAAAGAAAGAGAGACTCGGGTGGGTTCCCTAAATTGCTTGAGTTGAAATAGCTGACAGGTGACAGTTGGGAATTAAGTCCCAAGTTGTTCCCCTACAAGTACCTACCCCTGGTTAAGGAGGATTGGGTTCTGTGAGAGTCGCCTTCTGGTCACAGAATGGCTGCACAGCTTATAGCCACGAGCCTGTCCTTCTAAGTCCAAGCTCACTCTCCTTCCCAGAAGCTACAGTTCACACCCAGGTTCCTGTGCTCTCAGTGACCTGCCCTCCAGCACCACTCAGCTAAGCACTGGGGGCTGGAGTGCTTCCCTTCTGGGTTTTGGAGGCGGGTCCTAACAGAGCCTTTGCACACTGACGTTGGCAGACTCGGGGCAGTTAGACATCTGCAGTGGCTGTGTCTAGGACTCTGCCATTGGAACTGACACTGAGAAAGGTAGAGATGGACTGATTCCCAGCCTTCTTCCTTTTAGCAGAGGGTACGTGGGTGAGGGTGGAAGGCCATTTGTCTTCTGTGAACTGAGCTGGTTAAGGACACCCAAAGGGCAGGGGCTCCCCGAGGATTGTAGCCTGGGCAACTGGAGCTCAGCATGTGGATCATGCAGTAGGGTCAGCAGGCACTGGTCTGGGAGATGTCATACTTTCCACCCAGATAAACATCCCTTGAGCTTTGAGGGCGCTGCCCAGGGCTTCCTCAGAGGCCACGGGCTTCTGAATGAAAGGCCCGATTGAGCAGCAGCTGGAAAGGAAAACAGCCGCCAACACGGGGAACCTATAAAACTCGGAGTGTTTATTTTCACTCCCAAACCCTAAACCAAAGCGATTTCTCCCCGGGAACTGACCCCGGGGTGGCTGGCTGTTCAATGCTGTGCCCAGCCACTGGCTGCCGTATCTGAGGAACCTGGTGTTTGAAGCCAGAATGTCTGAGGCCAGGGGAGGGTCCAGCTGTGACTGCTACTGCTAGGAGCATCTTCCAGCTGCCTACCCGCTGTCCGGGGCCATGGAGTCCTCTGCTCCCACCATGTTCCTACTGATAGCCTGTGGATGTGGAGTTTGGAGGAGACACTTGTAGGATGCTGCTGTTCAAGTGGCCTGAGCACTGCACCTCAGTGGGGCTTGCCCTTGTGGCCACATCTGCTCTCTAGACCCATGGAAGGTGTCTGCGGTGTCTGCTTGAGTTGAGCGTTTGCAGTAGAGATCAGGCAGAGAATGTAAGATGCAGTTAATACTAGTTGACTTCTCTGATATTGGTATGGGCTTTGCTCTGAGCTAAAAGCTGTGACTCCAAAGGACTGAGAAATCACTGTTCCTGGCTCCATCTTACCTGACCCTTCAAAGTGGCAGCATCATGCCATCTCCCAACACAGTCCAAGCCCACATCTTCCTAGTTCTATGTACACCAATGCTATTGAAGGGTAGAAGCTGTCCTCTGTCCCATCCCCACTGAGAACTGCTTCTGTATTGGATGGAGCTGTGGTTCTGCTGACAACTGCCACTCCATACACAGAGGATCTTTGGGAAGTGTTGTCTTCACAACATTTCAGGAGGGAAGATATGCCTATTATATAGATTCTTCTTCGGGTCTCACAGGTCAAGGAGTGTTTGTGGCCTGGCTGTGTTGGCTAACCCAGTCAAGGAGAGATGGCCGACAGGCCAGATGTTACATGATTTAGTGACCCATGAGGTGAAGGATCTACTTATGAAGTCCCACATTCCTCTGCTGGCCTGTGGTCCAGGGAAGTTGAAGTGATGTGGTCCTGAGAGATGTTACGGTTACAGCGGGTCACAGTGGGGTCTGTTGAACCTCAGCTCACCTGTGCTGTAGCGATGCCTAGATTTGGGTGTCACTGGGGACTTCCTGCCCCGGGGCTTCTGACGCCTGGCTGCCGCTTGGCCCTCCCTCTTCTAATCCAGGCTTTCTGTTCAGCTTGGCTCTGATGCTGGGGGTGGGGGTGGGGTGGGGAGACCCAGACATCCACCCATCAGGCATGGGAAGGGGTTTTCCAGACTGCATCGGAGGCTTGTGAAATGCTTCACTTAGAAAGGGTTCCTGGGAAAGAGACTGGGGACCGGATCCCAGCTTTATGATGCACGGCGGCTTGGAGGAGCCGTCTAACCTGCTTCAGCTCCTCAACGCCTTCCCAAGAACTCGGAGCATGAGTCGGGACTCAAGCCAGATTTCCCAGCACCAGTCCGGGGCCCTTTGATATGTACCCACCATCCCTCCTACTGCAGCGCCCCGGCTCTGGTGCTGTCTTCGTCCTGTCGCCCAGGCCAATTGCTTAACCTGTGCATGGCTGGCACTGGGGACACCTTGCTCTTCTTAGTATTTTTCCTTGGATCAGGGTAGGAGAACTTCCTTTGGGAAGTGTTTTGGATGCAGCCAGGTGAGATGGTCTCCAACACGTGAATGTTCCCCACTTCCTTGTGCCATTCTGTCTCTTCACTTGGGTCATGACCATCCTCACCCAAGAGTCACACTGGAGATTGGTTGGAGTCTCCTTCATCTCCGCATCCCCAGCACTGAGCTACCGTACCACACAGTAGCCAGTCTGTGCCTGAGTATTGAATGGGTGATGTGTTACCAGAGCCCCTGGAGTGACACCTTTGTACCTAGAGCCATTGACTGATTTGGGTGATGCCCAGGAATGTGAGGAAAACATTACAAACAGTTTTATGTTTTCAGGGCATCCTGCCCAGCTGCTTTCTGAAGGGTCACTAAGTAGCTTCCAATCGGAAAGAACACTTTCTTTACCCACTGCTTGCCAACACTGGGTTTGGTAATTTTGAACATTTTTTCCCCTAAATTTTAATTTCATTTATTTATTTTTTTTAATTTTTATGTTGCTCAGGCTGGTGTGGAACTCACTATGTAGCTAGAGATGGCCTCGAACTCCTGACTCTCCTCCTTTCCGCTCCCGAGTCCTGGGCTCCCAGGCAGCACCCTGGCCTTTTTCTTGAGTTTGTAGTAACAATCTTGCTGTGGCATCATTTGAACTTTCATTGCTTTGATTTCTGGGGTACATTCCACTTGCCTTTCCTATGGGGATGGCATAGAATACTAGACCAGGAGTCAGGCCAGTCTCAGCCTCCCGGGATCTCAGACCAGCGGTCGGGTGGGGGTGGTGGGGGTGGTGGGGGGGATTGGTTGATGGGAATGCAGGTATCATCCAGAGTCCTAGGAAGGTCAGAGCAGCAGGACTGGCCAACACCCTGGTACAAAGCTCTGAACCTATACAAAACATGTCCTGTCTGGGACTTGGTAACAGGTCCTTGGCTCTCTTGTTAGGTAATCTGGTGGCATCCTCAAGTGGCCTGTGTCTGGAGCCTCTCAAAGGCAGCTTGTGGTCTTTAGAGAGCTCTGTCCAAACATGTCCCCTTGGGGGTTGCTTCAACTGTTTGGGTCCTGCAGCCCTCAGGCTGGCTCAACTATGGACATGGGGATCTGACCCTTCCCCTCTGACCTCCCAGCCCCCTGGTCTTTGCTTCCCTGACAGGATGTGTCTGTGAGTCCATCTGGCCACCTTGCTGCTGCTATGTCTTTTGCAGGGATGGGGGCGGGGAGATGAGCGGGGGTAGTGGTGGAGGCTGGGCCCTGGGCACACAGTAGCCCAGTGTCTGAGGCCCAAGGCCTCCAGGCCTGTTCTTTACAATGCTTTTGTTGTCCTTTTCCCTCCCATGGGTGGGTGGGGTACATGCGTGTGGGTCTGGGTGAGTTTTGTTTGTAAGCTGCCCCCTCTCTGTCCCCCAGCGCTGAGCTCATTGCCTGAGCTGCTGGAGCTGCTGGAAAGAGCCAGCCTGCTCCGAGGCCTGCGTGGGGGGTGCTGCCAACACCAGTACAACGTGCATGGCCGCTACAATGTGCAATTGTGACCTTTGTGTAAACGCGGTCGGTCTGGGGCCCGCACGCTTATAAAAATAAAGCATTGGGAAGCACAGGGGGGTGGGAACAAAAGAAGCTTTTTCGCTGGCTCTCTAATATGGTTTTATTTATCGGAACGCGCCCTCCTTCCCTTACTGGAACTGGGAGAGGTTCTCTGCCGAGCTTGGAGCTGATGGTATCACAGCCAGACGGTTTCATTAAACGCACAGACGCCGCCAGGCCTCGCCAGGGGCAGAAGGAAGAGGGCTCGGGGCCAGCCTGCCAGGGCCTGTGCGTGGATGTGGGAGTCCCGTGCCAGGGAGGCACTCCCCTGGGGAGTCTCTCTGTTAAGGGCATCCCATTGCCCTCTTCCAACCACAGAGTCAGGTTCAAAGCCAGTATTACAGGGGATGCCCTCCACGACTCTCCTACTGCCCCTCCGTTCCTGAACTAGCAGGCCTGGCTCAGGTTTGGTCCCCGTCAGCTAACTGAGTATGTTTCTGTCACAGGTGCCTAGGGCTCCTGACTGTGAGGTTGATGCCCTCACCCTTACAGCTAGCTCTTGAGTAACAGTCACAATGTTGAACCTTGCTGTCTACCTTAAGTGGAAGTCCGACTCTTACCTCATCTTTCCACCTCATCTACAGCCACCCTGTGCCAGCCGCTCTCTCTGTCACCTCTTGAGCAAGGGTCCGGGTTTGTCTCTTGGTCTCCTTATAGCCAGAAACCTAGCCCGATTCCCTGTCTCCCCATTTGGCCTGGGATTGTTCGGATGGCTCTGTATCCTCCGAGGCCACTGGAGCTCTGTTGGGTCACATGGGAAGTTAATGGCTGTGCTGGGGCTGGCCTGGGGGCTTGGCATTTGGGATAGAGCTGGGGCTGAAGGTATCAGCTGTGTTAAGGCCCTGTCTCTTCTCAGACATCCAGCTCAAGCTGCCAGCTCCCTGCATCCTGACTCTCCTGTCCATGTGCCCTAAGCACCTGTCATTTGGAACAGGACCCTAAACTGATATGCTCTTGGAGACGATAGAGGAGCATCCTCCCTCAAGCATTTTACTCCTCTCCCAAATCATGTGCACACATTCCCTAGACCTCACACTAGTGTCCAAATGTTTCCCACAACATTGCCTGGAACTTACTAGAAAGTCAAGGACCCTACCCAACTCTGCTGCATCACATGTGCAAGAGAACTGTGAAAACATTCTAGGTGATTCCATGGTACCTTCACATTTGGGGACCACTGGTCTAGAATCTGCTCCAATTATACCAACTTGCCTTTGGACAAGGCAGAGAAAATGACTGGCTGGGTCCCAGGCCATTGGGGCTGGCAGGCTGCACAGGAATTTTGGGCGAGTGAGGAGCTCACACCATGCAGTGCCTAGCAGCTCTCGGCTCTGCATCCACCTAAGGCTGTGCCACTTCTGCCCGTACCGGTGCAGAAGCCTCCTAACGGGTTCATGCTGTCACTGTGTGTCTCCTGCCTGGTCTCTAGGTGGCAACTGGGGTGAGCTGCTGAGGGGAGGTACTGGTTATGCTCGACTGATGCTATCTCAAGGCTCCCAGAACCTAACACCTGTGTCCTACTCCCCCTCCTCAAAGAATCCAGATCTACTGTGAGCACACTTCTTGCACTTCGTGTTTATTCTTCCAGGCTCTCACTCAAATTGTCGTTAGTTTGGGCAGATAGTTTATATTTTGCTCCAATTGTGTCCCCAGATCCCAATGCCTGGTCCCTAGTATGGCGTAAAGAAGGCACTCAGGAAATACTTGTTGGATAAATGAATGGGGCACACAGGTACCCACTTTTTTTTCTGGCACACCTTGTCCCAGTGACCAGCTAGGAGTAGGAAAGGAAAGGCTTCAAGTTCCAGGCCAAGGTCAGGCTCCATCTCCAAGTGGCTACAGCTGGCCTCAGAGATGGCATCTGGCCCGAATGCTGTTCTTCCAGAGGGGCAGCCACAACCACGCTCTGGCTTTGTGGCCCTGTGCCTCCTGACAGTCAGCTGAGTCTTGTCTCCTTCCTTACCTACCCCACACAGACCCCTATGCCATCGTCTCCTTCCTGCATCAGAGCCAGAAGACGGTGGTGGAGAAAAACACCCTGAACCCTACCTGGGATCAAACCCTCATCTTCTACGAGATCGAAATCTTCGGTGATCCAGCCAGTGTCGCCGAGCAGCCACCCAGCATTGTGGTGGAGCTGTATGACCATGACACCTATGTAAGTATGTTTACCTACTACTTCTCTTTATTGCTCATTTCCAGGACCCTGGGGAAAGTCGTGGTGTGAATGTTGGGGCTCCACTTAGGTACTTATCCCCAAGACTTGGGCTGGTGGCCTTCCTCCTCACTGCTCACTGAAATGATTTTAAACGAGTTCAAAATGGATCGCTGGCACAGGACCCTTGGCAGACATAGCTAATCAAACTGAGAGAGGGAAACAGATCCAGAAAGGGCACAGAGTTGTGGATTAGAGGTCTGGCTTTTCTCCAGGCCTACCTTGTTCCTCATTGGACAGACCTGCTCGCTCACACCCAGCCGTGGTAACTTTCTAGAACTATCTTTTGAACTGTGCCTCTCCTGTCTATTTCACTGTCACTCAATTATTGTACACAATTATTAATCAAGCACTTTCTGTACTGGGCTGAGTGGCCTCTTGCCTGGGTCTTGCTGTCTAGGTGGGAACTGAGACACCTAGTGTGAGAAGAACCCTCTAGGTGAGACATGGTGTCTGGAGTACCATATGGCCCTGTGGTATAGGCAGGGCCTTTCCATGGTGCTGTTCAACAGAATTTCCTGTGGTGATGCTGTGCTTTCTGGCTGTGCTCTCGGGGAGGGGAGTCGCCAGCCTCATGTGGGGAACACTTGAAATGCACTTGTACCAATGGAGAAACTGAGTTCTGAATTCTGTGTAAGTAACTGCACCAGGGTGTGTTGTACATGTGATGTAACTGGCAGAGTGTTTGCTTAGCATGCACAAAGTCCTGGATTTGCACTACATCAACTGGGCATACAGCCATAGTGGTGCGGGCCTGTAATCCCAGCATTTGGGAGGCAGAGGCAGGAGGATCAGGAGTTCAAGGTCCTCTTTGGCTACATATCAAGTTTGAGGCCAGCCTGGGTTACCTGAGACCTTGCCTAAAAACAAAACAAGTCAAAACAAAACACCCTCCACCCCCCAAATCGGAAGGTGGCTTATGCTCCAGTATAAGACGGTACTGTGCAAAATAATCAGGGGAAGCGAGGTGAAGACAAAAATCCTGAAATAAGTGTGGGTGGGGAACATAGAAGAACATTCTAGCAAATATGGGGGTGCTGGAGGATGAAGAGGAAGAATGAGACCAGGGGACCTGGGGGATGGGGTCAGAAGTAAGGGAGGCCATGTGGTTCCAGACAAAGAAGACTAGGTGGAAAGGTCTGGTCTGGGCGGGGTGCACTGGCAAGGAGGAGGGGTTGGAAGTTGTTTCCAGCAAGAGTTGCCATGACTACATGCCAGAAGCTCTGAGAAAGTGTGGCAGCCGGGGATGGGGAGGTGACGCCCTGTTAGGTGTTCACCAGATTGTCACAGAGGCTGGCCATGGGTAGCATGGATCTGGTTTGGACATTCTGACTGGAAGTTCTAGAGCTAGCTGAGCTCAAGGACAGGGAGCAACTAGACGGAGCGTCATCAGGGCCATAAAGGGAAGGAGGAGTGCAGGTCCTGGAGCTTGTGAGGCAGGAGGAGAACGCGGGTGGGGGACCAGGAGGCCCTGAATTGGTGCAAGGCGAGCTGGTAGGTTCCCAGGCTGAGCCAGAGCTCTTGGGAGACCTGCTCACTCGCACCCAGCCGTGGTAACTTTCTAGAACTATCTTTTGAACTGTGCCTCTCCTGTCTATCTCACTGTCACTCGCTACTCAGACCAGGTCCTGTTTGACCTGTCCTTGGCTGGCCAGCCAGAAACTCTCTTTCGGAAGAATCTTCTAGAAATGTTGCTCCAAGCTGCCCTTCTCAAGTTTGCCAGGCTAAGAGGGAGGTCTGTCCCGGGGTAGTAGTGGCTCCACGGATGAGGTAGAGTTGTGTCCATTGGGAATCTGCAGAACTCAGCAGCCAAGGGGGGGGCCACACTTGGCCCCGAGAAGCCCCAGACCCTTCCCAGTGCTGCAGTTACTGTCCACTCTGAGTGATGATTCTGAATCATCACTCACTAGTGTGGTGTGTGTGCTGGAGCTGGTAGCCGGTCCAGGACGCCTTGTAGAGGTGTTGAGGCCTTCTTGTAGTATAGCATGAGAACAGTCAGGGCTGTCTCCCAGTCCTTCTCCTGGGCAAGGGTTGAGGGCTTGTGATGCCCACAGCATCATCTGGCTGAGACCTGGCTCTGCCGACTGCCCTGTGAACTATGGGTAGTCTGTCTGCTGTGACAGAGGTGAGGAGAGGTGGGCACCAGCACAAAAGCATGAAGACGAGAGCTGGGCGAGGCCAAGGGGCTCCAGGGGAGGAGGAATGGGCACGGAGGTCGGCTGAGAAGAAGTAGTGTTCAGTCACTGAGAGGAGGTGGACCTGCCCTTGTGGGCAGCAGGAGCGAAGGAGGAGGCCAGGTTCAAGACTTAGGAGGGAAAGACATCATTTCAGTAAGACTCACTTTGGGAAATAAGGTCACATTTTATTTTTCATCTGAAAAAGTGGGGAAGTTAGGGGTGAAACAGTTGTGATATGAGAGTCCCTGACATGTCAAACAAGGGTGTTAAGGAAGTGTAGGCAGACTGTTTCTCCCAGGTCTCTCTGATGGGCTCAGGGATGGATTAGTAGTTGGGCATAGAGAAGGACTTCTGTAACTGCTGTTGGAATTACATCTTAGTGCAGTGAGGCTGCTTGCATTTGGTCCTCACATTTCCCTAAGAGGGCAGTACTTGCCATTCCACAGAAGAGGCTGCCCTGACTTCTGGGGCGGGGGGGGGGGGGGGGGGGGAGATACGAGACACTGACTCTTCTTTTTCGACACTGGTCTAGGGTGCTGATGAGTTCATGGGTCGCTGTATCTGTCAGCCCAGCCTGGAACGGATGCCCCGATTGGCCTGGTTCCCATTGACCAGAGGCAGCCAGCCTGCGGGCGAGCTGCTGGCAGCATTCGAGCTGATCCAGAGAGAGAAGGTAAGGCTGGCCACTGTCCAGGCCTGGGAGGCCCAGCTGGGGCACAGGCCAAGGGTGGTGGGGCTGTCCACATGGTGAACTCAGTAGGCACTGGGATGGTTCCTCTAAAGTCAGCCCTCCTACTGACACCCACCAGCCCACCCTTTCTGATCTTCAAGTCAGAACACAATTCACTTGAGGGCAGAATGTCGACTTCAGGATGACTGACTCCTCTGGCCGCAGCACTTTTTATTTCTGGGTCATTCCCTGTCATGGGTTCCAGGATCCTGCATAGTTGGGGCAAGGGGCCTTGAGTGTAGTGAATGGGTACTGGGGGCAGGCTATGCCATGGCCTGGCTTTGGACCTTGTAACCAGGATCCTACTGTTAAATGCCAGGCTGTTTTGAGGGCTGTCCTCAAGACTTGCCCTGGATTCCACATGAACCTTGTTTGTTAACTGCTCCTGCGGCAGCTCTGGGTAAGGTGTCTGGAGGACACAGACTACCGCCCTTCAGTTTGGAGCAGTCTGAGTCCCTGGCCTGTTTGCTACTTGACACAGTCTATGGGTGTTGGCCCGGGGTGGAAATCAGGGGTCTGGGATGGGTGATGAGCTGGTGAGAAACATCCTTTTTTTCTTTACTCTAGCCAGCAATCCACCATATTCCTGGCTTTGAGGTAAGTCTTGTTTGTATATTTCTCTCCAGTCTGCCTACCTTTGTAGACCCCTCTAGGCTTGGGAGGGCAGCTAGCAGGACTCACCTTAGCCCACCTGGGGGCCCTGGAAACTCCTTTAGGCAGAACGTGGCTCAGTGTGGTCCCCGGGTAGGTGACCAGGGGCTGGAGTTCTCATCTTACTCAGTGGCTACCTACCCAGCATAGACACCCCCTGCCTGGAGATGAGTGAGCACCAAGTTCCAAACTGCAGAGACCTCAGAGCTGTCCATCCCAGGGCTCTGGATTGGGCCGGGTGTGAGACTCACCATGGTGGATTTGACATTTATGGGGGTGCAGGTTTGACCACAGCCTCTGGGGGTGCAATCCTGGCTCAGGGTCTTTCAATACTGCCGAAGGCCTTTAACTTGCAGCCCAGGCTGAGGATCAGAAAGTGTTTGGGAGCAGCCCAGTATTGTTAGAAATGTCAATTTCTGGGTCCACTTCCATCCAGGCAAGCTCTGAGGGTGGAGGCCCATCATCCCACACCCCACCCAGCCCCGTGAAGCTTCTGATGCACAGGAAGTTTCAGGATGCCCGCTAGCCCAATTGGCCTAGCTCACGTCTCCCTGTGACCCTTTCCTCTCCTCTGCTGACAATGTCCCCTCGGTCCTCTTCCTGCCTTTCTGCCCCCTTTTCCTGGAGGTCCCAGTAGAAAACCTGTGCCGAGTCTCAGGCTTATTTTCTTCCTTGTTCCATTCTAGAGCAGGCTCAGCTGGAGCTGCTTGGGCTGTTGGGACACACAGGGTCCGGGTGGTTGCAACCACACAAGCCCTTCCCACCCTTTGCTTCTCCCCGCCCTCTCCTGCCAGATTTCCCCTTGTCCTGTCGGGGCTGGGGCCCTCAGCTCTGCTAGTCCTGGAGATTCTATGTGGCTTTCCATGGCTCCCCAAATCTACAGTACAGTTCTACAGCTTTGCTTGAGGCCCGACTTCTTCCTGGGGCTGCTACACAGGGTCCCAGGTCCCTCCTACCACCGGTCTGATGTTCTCCCCCCTGCCACTTTTGGAGAGGATCAGACTTTGTCACAGTCCGTTGTCGCTTCTTCATATGGGAGCACCTGAAGGGTGCGGCGAAGGAGCTGGCATGCTTGCCCTTGGTGGGAGGGCTTTCTGCGGGGGCCATCTCTGTCCCAGACAGTGCTTCTTGTTACTAATGGAGACCTTTTGCTCTTCTGGTTCTTCTACTCTCTCCCGGATGTGGCCCATTCCAGATGCACGAAACTTCAAGGATACTGGATGAGGTGAGCTGAACCCAAGGATGGGGGAGGTGGTAGACCTGGAGGGAGGGAGGGAGATAAAGGCCAGCCTTCCAAGCTCCTGTCACAGGGTGGCTGCTCTGGATTTTAGTCCTTAGGCTTGGAGTGGAGCCACAGCTGCCTGGGGTACATACTGTGAGGTGATTCCGGCACCAGAGGCCTGATGCCTCCTTAGTAGTCCAGACATACACAGATCACTTGAATGGCAATACTGAGTTTTGTCTGGTTGAGTAACAGATGGCATATTTTCAAGCATAAAATGTTGGGCAGGTGCCAGAGTAGCCAAGGAAACCTTTCTGGTGGTGGAGGCAGTGTTAGGACTTTGACAAAGCAATGAAGAAAATGGGAGGCACATAGCTTTGGTCCAAGGGGCCTAGGTGCAGTGTGAAGATGGATGGGAAGGAGAGCTCTGGGCCAAGGCCTAGCAGGAAAAGGCCATCCATGTCCTCCATCAGGGAGTCAGGGAGTCCCTGGGCTGGGTTGAGAGCGGATACCACTTGACATTTTTGGTGCAATTTGGACTTGAAGTGCAGGATCAATCAGGATGTGGGATTGTAGCCCGCCTCCCTTCCCTCACTTCCTTTCACTCCCAGGCAGAGGTGGGGGCCTGCCAGCTGCTGGCCCTCTTCGCGCCTGACAGGCGGCCTCCTGCTTCTGGCGGCCATGCGGAGAGACTGCCGATTTGGAAGGCAGCATAGAACTCTAGCCAAAACCCACAGCCTGTGCTGAAGAGGACCCAGCCTAGGGATGAGTTATGACAGACTCAGAATTCTTCGTGACCGGATGTGTCATATGGAATAGCGAGGGCTCGGACTGAGGGCTCGGATGCGGCTGTGGCCTGGCTGCCATGAAACAACGCAAAACTGCAGCTTGGGGCCAGACCCTGAAGAGATGAGCATCGGGGCTGGTCAGGTCCCCTACTGAGGCTTCCTGTGGTCAGCAGGGCCAGAGGACAGTGTTCCCTGAGAGCTTTCTGGATACAGACAGGGCCAGCCCAGCAGGTTCAAAGGGTTCGAGGCCCAGGGAGGTGACCCATCCTATAAGATGACCTTGTGATGCCCTTTACGCCAGAGGGTGCCAGTGTAACCCTTGGCCCTGAGTTCGGCACACTTCCCCTGACTGAAGGCGGAGTCTCCTGCCAAGAACTTGGGGCTTACTCAGTTTTAAGGCTCCCCAGAGGCTGAGAGGAGGCTGCTCTGCTCCTGCAGAAAGCCTGCTGACCCGGCAGAGCGTTTTCTGTCTTTTTGTGTGTGGTGGCCCAGCACCTGCTTGTGTCGCTGTTAATGTTTCCCAAGCTCCCAGTCCGATCCCTGTGCCCACTGAAGGTTTTGGAGGCCGTACCTTGGGCTGGAGACACCCTGCTGTATGCTGCTACGTAGGGACGCGGCAGTAGTAACACAGCCGTGGGAACACTGCTCTGTGGGGCTCTAGGAGGGGGAAGCCAGGCTGCCTTGCTTGCTGGGGGCTTTACAGAGTGCAGAGACCTGAGCCCTTGTGGAGAGCTGAGGGTGCCTTTCGGTCTTTGTCCTCTCTCTCTCTCTCTCTTGAGCTTCTTCTCATCCTTCCTGTCTCGTCCTTCCTCTGTGCCCTTCTTGGCCCATCTTCCTTCCCACCTCTTCTGAGCACCCCACCCCCCTTTTTTTGGTCTTGAGAACAAAGGCAGTTCGGGCTGCCAAGGGGAACGAGTTCAAAGAAACTGCAATTTTAGATTTCCCGAGAACTGGCGAGTGTGCGCGTGCAATGCGCATGGGCATGTTGGTGAGAACACGCATGCGCACACACGGCAGGCGAGGTCCTAGGGGTTCCTTACTAGTGGGGCTCTTAGAACTAGGAACATGTGTAGAGGAAGACCTTCCCCAGGGCCTGCGGGATTTGACTGTCCAAAGGACATGGTTAGTTGTCCCCCTTCGCTTCTGCTCTGAGGAAAAGGATGCCCTGGAAGAGGGCAGCATGTGCTTCTTGGCTGCTTGTACTGCCAGTGTGGTGGTCCAACTAGTTACCCTAGACACCTTCCCAGATCTAGGAGGTGGCAGGGTATACAGTTTACTCTAAGGCCTACCCCAGGTTTGCTCCTGCACCCCAGCATTCACTAGAAGGAAACATTTGGTGTTTTGCAATCAGGAAAATGAGCCCAGTGCCCCCCATCCCTTTCCTCCTCCCCCAAGGTCTTAATTTGAAACACTATTTCCCTGGGAAGTGTAATTAGACCAGCATGTTGTTCCTAATGAGCTGGGTGGGGCAGACAGACAATGGAGCCTCCTGCTGCCTGCCTGCCCCCTGCCTGCAGCTCCCCAAGGAACCAAGACGTGTCCCCCTTGGGTGAGGTGGGGGTCTGAGGGTTACTGGGGACAGGGCAGGCCAGTGGGCTGCAGAGGCATGTCAACCCCCGCACCGCCCTGGGAAGAAGCATCTGAGTAGTGTGCTGTCATCCAGGACTAGGAGCCTTCCTGTGGCTTCAGCTCTGTGCTGGACAGGCCATGGGGACATACGGGCTGAGAAGAATCTAAGGGTGGCTTCTACTGTTGGGAGAAGTCCCTCAGTTGTTCTGGAGATCTGGGGCTGAATGGGCTTGATCAACACCCTGCCCACCTGGTGCCAGCTCTGCTCCAGAGTCAGGGCAGGCACAGGAGTTTGGTTTTATGGCTATCTCTGACCAGGCTAATAAGGAATTGGCTTGTCCTTGGGGCCTGGAGTGCTCAGTCCCTGTCACCTGTGAGACAGCCAATCAGATCTTGGCTGCCTTAGTAGCCTGCCCCCTGCCTTTCCTGGCAGTTTGCTGTCCGGTTTTGATAAGGGTCACAGCACCCATACTGTCTTGAAGGGACAGCTTTGGGCCCCCTAGGTGGGTCGGACCAGGAGGAAATTGAGGCTTAGGAGCTGGCTCCCCTTTAACCTCCTGAATGAGATGAACAAAGGACTGTTAGGTTCGCTGGAACTGTGTGAGGTGTGTGTGTGTGTGTGTGTGTGTGTGTGTGTGGTGTGTGTGTGTGTGTGAGGTGTGTGCGTGTTGTGTGTGTGTGTGTGTGAGGTGTGTGCGTGTTGTGTGTGTGTGTGTGTGTGTGAGGTGTGTGTGTGTGTGGTGTGTGTGTGTGTGTGTGTGTGTGTGTGTGTGTGTGTGTGTGTGTGTTACACGAGTTATTTAGGTTTAAGAGATGTCAGGGCTAGAAGAAGTTTCTGGAGGGTTTGGAGGAATCGAGGGAGAACTTGACTTAGGCCCTGAAGACTGCCAGGTCCCAGAAGGTAGTGAAGGAAGCTGGTGCAGCGTGAGCAGACACAGCCAGCAGGGGCTGAGGGGGGACCTGGGGTGATGGCAGAGCAGGTGGCAGTGTAGGCAGGGAGAGCCACTTTTTTACTCCCTCTGTCCCCCCATCCTTCCCTTACTCCAGCTATCTATTCATGCCATTGCTTATTACTCAGGATTGCTGCTTAGCTAGGGACAAAGACAGACAGAGACGTGGCATAGGATGATTGATGCGTCTTTCAGTGTGACTAAGGTCAGGAGGGGACAAAGGCTATGGGGACCATGGGGACATTGGAACATAATACGCTTAGGGTACCAAGGAAGAGTTAAATGACATATAGAGTCCAAGCAGGAAGTGGCCAGATGAAGAGGGACAGACTGTATTTCAGACAGATGGATGATGAGTGCTGAGTCCCAAGGTTAAATAAAAACACGGTGCCTCCATTTAAGAAGGGTAAGGATTGAGTATATTGAGATTTGGGATCCTGAAGGAAAAGTCACGTGATGAGAGAAGTCAGCAGTAGCTGGAAGATGAGGGGTTTGGGGGCCTCTTCAGGCTTTGTAAGTGTCTTGAGTGCAGCATCACTTGAGTGACATGTCCCGACTGCGTGCCCACAGGGTGTAGTGGACTTTGTTAGTTGAGGATGTGTGCAAAACCAGAAGCGAGCAGACCACGGAACGGGCCACTGGGTGTGTGGACAGCAGAAGGAAAACATGTGGACGGGAGGAAAGGAAGAAGGGAGGAAGAGGGAGGGGGAGGGGAGGGGAGGGGTAGCGAGAGACAGGAGAGAGATCTAGGAAAAGGGTCACCAGTGCTCAGTGACCGATCAGACACAGTGAGGCGGGAGAAGGAACCAAGGGTGGCACTGGTTGTCCTAGTGGATGTTGGGGCCAGTGTATGAGATGGGGCTTGAAGGGAGCAGGTTTCGGGGGGATGGATTTAAAAAAAAGGAATCATCGACAAGTTACGTGTGAGAGACCATTAGGATGCTTGGATGAGCAGAGTGGAAAGCTGCTAGGGATGGGGCTGAGGACTTAGGAGGGACACGGGGAACAGAAAGCCTGCGAGGCAAAGAAGATTGGCTGTGCAGGGCTGAGGGAGGAAGGGGCTGAGGTGGCCTGGGAGGCCCATCCTTGAGAGGAAGAGGGAACCGAGTAGGTTGGTGGCTTTGGGCGAGACAGCTGCTGACGAGGGGTGGGAGAGGTGAGAATCCACAAGTGACCTTGGGCTGAATGTTGGCCTGGGAGAGAAGTTTCCAGAGAAGAGGTGCTGGGGCAGAAGCAGAGGGGGATGGAGGCGGGGGAGGGCTCAGAGAAACAGTGTGATGGATAGAGAACCCTGGGGTGGAGAGGTAGACACGGAAGGGAGGGGGAAGGACTGGGAGGATGGGGAGAGGTGGAGTCAGGGACCTAGAGAGCACTAAGGACTGGGTACCCCGTCACAGCTCTGTGCTGGGGTGTGTGGCACGCAGGACACAGCATTGTCTTGGAGGACAGAGGACCATGATGGTGTCTTGCAGGCTGGGCAGAGAAGGCCATCAAGAGAAAGAGCCCGAGGAGCTGGAGCCATTTGGCCTCGGGCAGGAATGTTGTGGGAGGCCTGGGGACAGTGTGGCGGACAGAGGGCGTGTTGGGACAAGAGGGACGTCCTCGTGCTAAGGAAGTGGTCCCCGGGTGTTCACTAACCTCTCTCTCTGCTTTTCTTCCTCCTGCCTCCGCCTGCCTGGCTCCACAGCTGTGTGCCCCTGCTTTCTTCCTGCAGGGCCTCTTCCAGACGGTACTAGTACCCGCTTGGGCTTCTTGCCTCCATCCTACTCGGGGAGTGGGCTCGCACTGTGGGGAGTCTGGTTCTCAGGTTGTACAGCAGACGTCATCACAAGGCTTTGGGGAGCTAGAAGGGAACGTGGCGCCCAGACAGCCCACAGCTAGCTGGTGGATCTTCTTTGGTGACTGTCAAAGAAGTGGGTGGCTGGGTGAGGAACATTGTTCTTTGGCCTCCTCATTTGGCAAAGTTTGGAGCCTAACACTTGCTGTTGCCACCCCTCACCCCATTCCCTTTGGTCCCACAGTGGGCTGAGCATCAGCCGCGAGAGGTTAGGAATATGCCACAAAGCTAGGCCCTTAAAATAGGCCACCCCAGCTGTATAGTCACCTGCAGCTGGTGGTGGGTGTCATAGTGTGGCCCCAGGTTCTGTTAGCAGCCCGGCTTCTAGAGTGGTTGCACAGGCTGTCTAGGTGTGTCTGTCCTAGGCTCTGTGGTGGGCACAGCTCCCCTGCAGGTGTGCCCTGAGGCTGCTCTGTCTCTCACCCCCCCATATCATGTCACCCACTGCCACTTAGGAGTAAACCAGGCAGTTTCTACCTTTGTCCTGGTGATTTAAAGGTAGTTATAAAGCCAATATTGTTCTGAGAGATGTTTCTGACTGCCCAGCTCTCCTCAGGTGACCCCTAGGAGAGCAAGCTGAACACCAGCGGTAATGGCCATGGCGCCGACAACAATGGCGTTCGTAATTACAGTCACATCATTCATTAAGAGCCTTCTGGTGCCAGTTACTCCTCTTGTCCATCTTCTCCTTTACTTCTCAGAGCGACTTTGTTCAGCATCTTGTTATTCTTTCTTTATGAGGACACTGAGTCACTGGTGCTGAGTAATCTGCCCAGGGCCACACAGCTAGGAAGCAACAGAGCTGGCATCAGAGTCCAGGGCTGCCTGGTCCTGGACCTGAGGTCCTTACGGCCATGGGTCAGGGTGGTGTGGCATCATCAGAGGGCCCCTGGGCAGGAGGTGGCTGGAGTTGCTGTGAAATTTGATGTAGGCAGGAGGAAGCTGCCCTTGTCACCCATGTTAGCATTATCTGTCAATATACTGTCCTTTCCGAAGAAAGATTGTTGGAGAGTAAGTCAGATGATCACAATGCTTACTGAGGCACAGCCCGTTTGGTACTAGTTAATCCTTGTAACATCAAGACCTCCATGTATGTATGTATGTGCCGTCTGACAGTGTATCCAAGGAGGTACAATTTCTAGTGTAACCTGTGTTTGTGTTTATTATAAAGGTTTCCCACTAGGTGGCAGTGAAGCGTCTTGACCTAATAAACTTGTAAAATATAATTTCCCGACATGGAGTCAAAAGATTGCCTCAGTAGTTATAGTGAGCGTTTGCTGCTGCAGACATTCTTCAAGGTGTATGGCATGCAGCTCCCATGGCCTAGTTAGCAGAAGTTAGTCTCTAGTCACACAAAGAGGCTGAGTGAAAGAAAGGTGAGCTAACCTTTCTAGTCTCGTGGATGGTAGAGCTAGTGTTCACACCTACAGCTGCCATGCTGGGAGCCCATCACCTGAGATCACACCTCTCTCTACTGCCTTACCCTGCTTAACACAAGGCTCTTAGTGTTTCCTGCCCAACTCCCTTGGGAACCCCCTGAGCAGTCCAGCATCACCACATGAGTCCCTTATCTCTGGTCCGGGCTGGTGAGGGAGCCTCCTCTGGAGTGCCGCTGATGGTGGCCTTATATCCTTTGTCTATAAGGACAGGGGCCACACATCCCTGTGTCTCATTTACCATTGCTCTCTTCTTCCTGGCTTCCTGTGAGAATGCTCTTTTCTTGCTGATGTGAATATGGGGTTAGGGGTTTGAGGGTGTCTGGCTAGAAACCAGGGTGTGTCTCAGCTGGTGGGCAGGAGAGCAAGCATGGAGGGAAGCGACTGAGAGACGGAAGTAGGTGGGCCAGGATGGAGCAGGAGGGTGTGCATGCTCATGTCAGCATCTGAGTGCATTCATATGTGAGCACACATGTATGTGCTGTAGAGAGGGGAGACCTGGCTATCTCACTGGCGCTCTGTGTTGTGGGAGGACAGCTTGGCCTTGTGCGAAGATGTGTGCATTCTGATCCTGGACAGCCCAGTGCCCAGCTGAGGCTGATCCAGCACCCTCATTTTTGCTGCCTGTTTGCCCACCTCGAGCTTTGTCCTCCAATCCTACGTCTCCCAATGCATGCCATTACCTTCTGCCTTCCTGTCTTCTCTAGTCCCACTGCCCTGGCCTTTCCCCCACTGTGGTCTCTTTTCTGCTTTGCTGTCCCCTGCAGACGGAGGACACAGACTTGCCTTACCCACCACCCCAGAGGGAGGCCAACATCTACATGGTGCCCCAGAACATCAAGCCAGCTCTCCAGCGCACAGCCATTGAGGTGAGCCTGGCTGTCGGACAGGGCTGCTGGCCTGGCCTCCCCACTTCCTGCTCTAGCCCTGCTCAGCTGCTTTCTCCTTTCTCTGTCCCCAGATCCTGGCCTGGGGCCTGAGGAACATGAAGAGCTATCAGATGGCCAGCATCTCTTCCCCTAGCCTCGTGGTGGAGTGTGGTGGCCAGACAGTGCAGTCCTGTGTCATCAGAAACCTTCGGAAGAACCCTAACTTTGATGTCTGCACCCTGTTCATGGAAGTGGTAAGCTCTACCTCCCAACTGTTCCCTTCCATAACCCTGAGCGACGGAGTGACTTCATGATCCCAGCAACCCTGGGGTTCAGCTCCAGTTCTCAGAAAGGCCCAGGTGTGGGTGTGTGTGCGCGTGCGTATCCTATCACCTCTAGAGCTTCTGTGAAAACAGGAATTACTTCTTGTCTGATCGAAGGTTTTTGTCCTGTGTGCAGCACACATGGCTTCTGTCCCCTCCTGCCTGATCCCAGGTCAGCAGAAGCTTCAGGAGCCGTTCTCAATCTATTCCTGTAGGGAAGGCTTGCATGGCCATGGCCTCTTCCCAGGAACCCTCCAGGGCTGGCCTTCAGACATTCCCCCCTACTTTCCCTGGTTCTATTTTAGCTTGAGCCTTGCAAAGCAACCTTCAACCTCCAGTCCCTGCTCTCCAGTTCTAATTCCTCAGTCCCCCGTTCCCAGGCCATTGGGCCCTCAGCTGTCAGCCCCGCTTAGTCCTCAGTTCCCTATTCCTTAGCCCCAAACTTTCAGGCCCTGGCCTCTCACTTCCAGCTCTCGGGCCCTAGCCCTTGGCCCCCTAATTCTCAGCTTTCAGGCCCTGGCTCTCCAGACCCTGGCCCCCAAGTCTTCAATCTTGGTCCCCAACAATCAACTTTTAGCCCCCAGCCCTTGGCTTTCCAGCCTTTGATACCCCAGCCCCTGATGCCCATTCATCAGCTCCCAGCCCCTGCCTTGAGTCCTCTACCTCCATTTCTCCAGCCTCTGATCTCTCAGTGTTCATCCACAAGTCCTCAGTGCCCCAGCCCCTGAGTTTTTAGTCTTGACTCCCAATTCACAGCCCTAGCTCTCAACCCTGCCTGTCAGCTACCATATCCTCAGCTCCCAGCCTCCAACCTTTAACCCTGGCTCTCAGAATCTGTAGCTTCAGCTCTCAGCATCCCAAGCCCCTGACCCACTGGCTCTCAGCCCCCATAGCCCTCAAACCCCACAGTGTGGTCCTAGTCCATAGTCTCCCAACCCCTGTCCTCACTGGCCTCCTAGCTTCTGATCTCTCAGCCCCTAGCCCCCCACTCCCATCCCTACAGATCTTAGCCCCAGTCCCTGCTCCCTGCCTCCCCACAGTCCTCTGCCATTGGTTCTTGACTCCCAATGCCTGGCCTTCCACTCTTCAGACTTCTAGTCCTTAGAATCAACCCCCAGCCCTGAGCCCTGAACCCTGAGTCTCCCACCCCTCATCCCTCCATTCCTCAGTCTCAAGGCCTCCCCAGTTCCCTGGGCTGCCTGGGCCCAGTGGCCGATGTAAGTCAAGTCTGAGAAAAGGAAAATAGTTTGCAAGATGAAAGCACGATAGAAATTCCAGGCCCAGTGGCTGTCAACAGGAGCCTTCTCTTGGCTCAGCCAAGACGCCACTGAAGGAGTGCATATAAATTATTTCAAGTTGTGTTCAAAGTGCTTTTGGGGTTGGGGGAGAAGAATCTGGGTCTGCAAGCCAACTCCTGAGTATCCACTTGGGGGGGACTGTCTGTAAGAAATGTTGAGCTGCAGCCCAACTCCCCCCTTACCCCCCAAGCAGTGCAGGTTCAGAGAAAATAGACTTGCTCAGAGTTCAGGCTGACCTGGGTGTGCTTGGAGGTAAAGCTGTGGGAAAGCCAGCCTCCACACACAGCAGCCAAGGATAGACAGAAAGGGGTGTGGCCTCTGTCCCACTGGCTAGCACTGGCTGCTGGCCACCATGTTGGATTTGGGGCTCTTGGGGACTCAGAGTTACTTTTTGTCCCTTGGTCCTGCCTGTGAGTGCTCTCCCTCACTCCTTCCCCAGAAATGGGCTGAGGCCCATGTTTAGAGCGTCCCTCTTCTCCTCTCTCCAGATGTTGCCCCGAGAGGACCTCTACTGTCCCCCAATTGTGGTCAAGGTCATTGATAACCGTCAGTTTGGCCGCCGGCCAGTAGTGGGCCAGTGCACCATTCGCTCCCTGGAGAAATTCCTGTGTGACCCGTACTCAGCAGAAAGTCCTTCCCCACAGGGCGGCCCAGGTAACGAGGGAGAGGTGGCCTTTGCTCAGCTGGCCCAGAGGTGGGGGGGGGGGGGTCTTTCCTTCCTCAGGTTGGCACATCTGGAGCAAGTGAGCCTACTTGTGGGTGGGAAGCATGGTTCAAAATAGGGGTGGCGGTGGGGGAAGAGCCGAGGGGAGAGGCGCAGAGGGAGAGGAAGAGGAGGTGGGAAATGGGGGAAGATGGGGAATAGATTCAGGAAAAGGAAGGGCCGGGGGCAGAGAGAAAAAGGGTGTGAGGGGTGGTGAGATTGAGGGGTCTGGTGACAGTCCCTTGACTGAGTCCCTCATAGGAGTGGACTTGCTCTTCCTGCAGATGACGTGAGCCTTCTCAGCCCTGGGGAGGATGTGCTCATCGACATTGATGACAAGGAGCCTCTCATCCCTGTCCAGGTAGGATAAGGAAGATGGCAGCTCCTTCCTGCCCCACCCCCAAGGAGATGGCCTTAATTTCCCCACCCTGCACTCCTCATCTCTACCTCCTCCCCTCCCCTGCCCTTCCCTACCATATAGCCATTATACCCACCCCTCTATACCCAGGTGGCTGGGTGCTGCCTGATGGAAGGGCCTGAGTAGGGGCTTTCAGTCTGGTTGGAGAAGGGGTGTGTAGTCCTTAGGGTAAGATCTAAACTTTTTTTCTGGAAGCATGTGGGGAAAATGGAACATCTCCCTTGGGGCTGCATTGAAGGCTTTCTGTCTGAGAGCCCTCAGAAGTGAGAAGGAGATGGGAGGGAGTGTCTCTTCTTTGAGGGAAGATTGTTCTGGGATCTCATGCTCGGCAGCTCCGGGGATGTAACTTAGAGAGAGCAGGCTGTGTTTAGGACTGTGTGGATCTTGCTTATCCCCCACCTCCAGGACCAGGAAGGGAGGATTTGGGGGAAAGCTGTTGCAACCTGCTGCAGTCAATCGTTTTTTTGCCGGAACTCTGCAACCTAGGGCCTGCTGGTGACCACAGGACATGTCAAGGCATATGGCAGGAAGCCCATGACATATTCTACCCAAGGGAGCACTGTTCCTATCTTGGGCCCTAGATGGGCTCTGCATCCCATCCAGTACTTGCCCCAAGAGAGGTGGAGAAAGCCCTACTGCGAACAATGGCCTGAACTTGCTCAGGCTGCCACCCTCCTCTGTGGCTGTGCATGCTGTTGCTCACATACCTGATGTCTTCAGTGCTCCTAAAACTTCAGGCTACCTGAGGCAGAGCCTCCTAGCCTGTTTGATGGCATCCTCTCCTCGGGCTGCAGTGAATAGATGGGTGTGTGAGTGGGTCAGTGGTTGGATAGACACTTATCTATTAATGGATAGATGGATTAACAAGTGACACTCAGCTAGCCTCTGTACTCTTCAAACCACCCATTAAATCTTAGCTTTGCGCACGAGAACGAACCTGAGTGCTGAGATGGCCCCAAGATCCTTAGAGCTCAGTTCTGAGGTGGTCCCTGGCAATACTGAGTGCCGTTTTCTGCCACTTTCTCAATCTCCCATCTTCCTGCTACTTCCACGGGAGCACCTCCAGTGTTTGCTCCTGGAGCCGTGCTGCTGCTGCAGAGGCTGGAAGTATTGCTCTACGGTTTCACCAGTGCTAAGAAGGTGTCAGAAGCCTCAAGCCCTCATCCCTCGGCCTGTAGCACTCACCAGGGCTCTGCCCTTCTAGCCTGTCTGCTGAGACAACCTTTGCCTTTGTTCTCTTGCTCAGTTCATTATTTGAGACTCAACTTAGGAATGCTCACCACTTCTCTGGCAGGATCTTGGCCACTACATCAGCTCTAAGTCCTGCATGTCTCTCATCTTCTCAGCATCTTCTCTGGACTAAATGCATGACAGCAACTAGGCTGCCTTCCTTTATATGTCCCCAGTGTCCAGCACAGGGCCTGGTTTAGAGGAGATGTTCAATGAGAATCTGTCTATTTGGCCAATGAGTAGATGAATGAATGGATAGATGGATGGGTAGATGGATGGATGGATGGATGGATGGATGGATGAATAGGTGGCTAGAGAGTAGACAGATGGATGGCTAGATGGGTGAATAAATTAATGGATAGATGAGAGGATGAGAGGATGGATGGGTGAACAGGCAGATGGATGAACACATGGGTGGGTAGATGGGTGGATGGACATATGGATGGATGGATGGATGGATGGATGAGTGGATGCATGGATAGGTAGGTTGATGGGTGGTTGGGTGGATGGATGGAGAGGTAGATGAATTGGTGAACAGATGGATGCATAGACAGGTAGATGAATAGATGGATGAACAGATGGATAAATGGGTATATGTATGGGTATATGTATGTATGTATACATGTATGTATGTATGTATGTATAAATGCATGGAAGAAAAAAACAGATAATTCACCCATTGTCTACATTGGTCTGAGGAAGAATGTTTCCTATCAGGGAAACCTGAATGGGAATTTGAGATGGCTCTACATTGATGTCAGTACAAGTTTATATTTTGTCTTCCTTGTGGATGGGTATTTGTAGCTAAGTGAGTCCCAAGCCCTGGCTTCCCCCACCCCCAGCTCCTATTTCCTGCCCCCTTCACAGGCCTGTCTGAGTTACAACTAAGTCATGGCTTCCCAGCAGGACCACTGCTCTCTGTGTGCGACCTTCAGTGTCCACAAGCTTAGGTGAGGAGGGACTGTTGGGGCCCTGTTGGCTACAAGCACAGCCAGAGGTAGAAGGTGAGGAGCCCGGGCTGGACAGATGCCTGGCCCTGCCATGAGGGGCCCAGGGATGGGCCTGAGCAAGATTCAGAGCCAGAGCTAGGCCTGTGCTCCATGTCAACACATGGCCACTCTGACTGGATCAGTGGGCAGAGAGGTGTGTGGCTGGGAGCTGGACTGCTGGAGGTGTGCCACACAGCAAGGCTGGCCTTGCCTAGGTTGGGAGATGGCAGGGGAACATGAAGAAGAGGATGACAAGAGGAAGAAGATGAGAAACAGGGACCAGCTTGCTTTGATGGGAGAGGCCTGAGTCCCATTCTTATTGAATATACCATCTGGCAGGAACATACCATCTTGGGGAGGTGATATGTGTGTTTACATAGCAAAGTTGTGTGTGTGTGTGTGTGTGTGTGTGTGTGTTTGTGTAGTAAGGTGGTATGTTTATATGTGTGTGCATTAAGGTAGTGTATATGTGATAAGATGATGTGTGGTAAGGGTGTGTGTGTGTGTGTGCATGTGGTGTGGTAGTATGTATGTGGTAAGGTGGTACATACATGTGATAAGGTAGTGTGTGTGGTAAAGCATGCATGTGGTGAGGTAGTATGTATGTACACGTGGTAAGGTTGGTTGGTATGTGTGCGATGAGGTGGTGTATACATGTGGTAAGGTGGTGTGTGTGTATGTGGTAAGGTAGTATGTATGTTTATTGCAGGTATGTGTGGAGATGTCAGTGGTAGATGTGTGTGTGTGTGTGTGTGTGTGTGTGTGTGTGTGTGTGTGTGTGTGGTGAGGTGTGTGTATGTGATAAGGCACTATGCATGTACACATGTGTGGGGTGTGTATTGCTGAAGACACAGTTGGCAGGTGGTGTGGAGAAGCCCTGAGAACGTGATGGGGACCTTCTCACTCACGGTGGGCTGGGGTGTGGGCAGCGCTCAGGCTCAGGCTAATTTGGAGCTCACTGCTCCGCTTATAGTCTCGAGGCTGCCATGAAGGTGGAAACACGGTCCCGGAATTAGAGCAGCAAATTATGGCCCCGGCCCGAAGGGGAGTGTGTAATTTCTGCAGCTGCACGGAGCTTGGCACTATGTTTAGCTGCGTGTGTTCCTTTGGCTCTGATGACCTGCCTGTACCCCTCTCACCCTTTAAAAAGGAACACTTTCAAAATAACGGTGAGGCCGCTGAGGGGTCAGAGCAAGAAGGGGAGGGACAGAGGTGTCTTTGGCCATCTGGGGGCTGCTGGAGAAACTCACCGTCTATTCTGGAAGGTCCTACTGTACCCAATATTGGCCAGCAGCCCTGGCTGGTTGCCATTTAATCTGCCTTCCTTCCTTCCCGTACTTGGGCTCTGGAGCTCCCCGGTGATGCTTCCTACACAGAGGAGAGGGCAGGGAGTCAAAACCCCACCCCGGGTCTCAACGGGGTCTCTCCTCACTTCTGCCCTACACCCGACCTCTCTTCTTGCACAGGAAGGGAGCCTGGCCTGGGCTTCCCTTTTTCAGGATCCTCTTGGAGCCTCTGGATCATTGAAGAGGGAGGCTGGTGCTGGTGGCTGTGGGTCCCCACTGACCTCGGCTTCTCCAGCCTCACCTCCCATTTCCCCTGTTGCAGGGCCTGTTTTCTGTCCCCACCCCCAGATCTGCTGTTTCCTTCTTCCTCTGCCCCCCGCCCCGCCCTGCTTTGTCCACCCTTTTGAGGCTGTTCATCCACCTGAACCCTCACCTCTGCCCCTGGCCCCTTGCCATGGCCTCCAAGCATGTCTGAGGCTTTCCTCTAAAACATCGGATTACAGTCCTAGAGACACCAACTGGGGGTTTGTGGTGGGAAGTCATTTCCAGGGCAGGCAGCAGGGGTGTACTGTGAGACTCCTTCGGCTTCCTTCGTGTAGGCCTGGGGAGCCGTGTGGTCCCCAGCTCCTGGAGGATGGAAGCTGAGGATCTTGACCGTGCTTACCCAGCAGGTCTGGGTATGTTAGTGACAGAAGGAGCAGAGGGTGGGGACCAGAAATGTCCCTGGAGCAGGCAGGTTTGAGAAAGGCAGGGAGAGTGGCTGAGTAGGTAGCACCTGAGCAGGGCCAGCAAAGGCAATTAGATTGCAGTCGGAGAGCAAACTAGCCGGGCGAGGTCTTCGTCATGTTTAGACTGACTCACCTCTCCTTGTCGCTCTGGGTCATTGTGGTTCAGGGAGGTCACGGAGCTATCCAAGGTCACGTAAATGGTTGGGTCATGGAGCTGGGATTGTCCAACTGGGGACAGCAAAGTCTTCACACAGCTGGGACAGAGGGTTCCTGGAGGGGAAGGGGGTGGGGAGAGCCCTACTCCCTCAGAGCTGGCCAACCTTCCCTGTCACAGGTCCTCAAATCTTGCCCTCAAATCCTGTCACTAACTGGCATGTTTAATTTGTAGCTCGCAGATGGGCTGTCAAGCGTGGTCCCCACTAACCTGAGGTCTTCTCCGTCCAGTCCTCATGTAGGTATTGTTCATTATTTGTTGGCTCCATTTTCCTTGCACAGATCTGGGATAAGGAGGAGAGGAGGCATTCCTGAGCATGGCATAACCATGGAGGGGTGGGAGGAAGGTCCTGGGTGTAGTTCCTAAATCTCTGCCTCTGATCAATGTCCTGTTCCTTCTGAGCCTTACTTCAGTCCTGGTTACCCAGGTGGGCTGGGCTTCGGTCTGGCTGTGAGGGCCAGAGGAAGCAGGCATGTCCCTAGCTTCAATTCTGCCCTTTGGGACTTGGGCCCAAGAAGGTTCTTCAGATGGCAGCTGCTAGCCTTCCTTGTTACTCCCAACATGAGTGTATGTGTGTGGCTGAGGACTCCTGGTGGGTCCTGGTGTGTCCTGAGATCCAAGTGGTTGGGCCAATGGCAGTACTGTAGTGCCCATCTGGGCTACTTTCTTTCTGCCTCTGCTGATCTACAAGGTCCAGGCTTCTTTCTGAATTATCTTTTGTGGGAAATACAGAAAACTCAGAGTGCAGGGCAGAGGGAAAGCTATCCACGTCTCCGTTTGCTGCTAAGACTGTTTAGACATGCCTGTGTTTTTAGGTCTCTTTTATGTACTTGTTTATACTTTGAGTTTTACAATGTTAGAATCATAATCGCATTTTCTTATAATCTGCATTTAAAAGTACAGTGTGACTGCTCTCCCACTCTATATTCTATTTTTTAAAGATGGGCGAATGTCACCTGGGCCCTCTGGAAGCGCTAACTACTCATCGCCGGACACTTGTTTTGTTAATCCTCACCGCTGTTCTCCTTACATCCCTAGAAATCTTAGTTTACTATCTGTAGGTCAGGTCATTTAATTTATTCCTAGGCTTTTTGTAGCCTTTATTACTATTCTCGGTGGAATATCTTTCTTTTTTGTGACTATAATTCTTGCTAGGAAATCCCCCTCAATTCCCCTCCCCCTTCCTCTCCTTTCTTCTCTTCTGTGCCAGGAATTAAGCCCAGAACCCTCTGCATGCTTGACAAGTGCTATAACCCTGAGCTATGTCCCAGCTCCTGAAACACTACTTTTGTATACTTACATTGTGACTATCTCTTTATTAAGTCCTTTCCTCCGTCCGTTTTGATTGAAGAAAATTTCTAGATGGCTAAGACTGTTCAAACAAGCCAGGCTTTATTCCTCAAAGCTGTGTCTTTATTATTCCCCATTTCAGAATAATATTTGACAGTAGAGCTGGCACTAAGCAAAGTTATTTGGCCACTAATTTATGAGAACAGCTCTGTTATTTTCTGTTAGTTACGGTAACAACTACCTGTTTCAGATCGTCTTGGCTTTGTCAAGATTTGGTCTTTTATTGTCAGTCTTCTAATAGCTTAAACTTGGGACGAGGCCTGGGGGGGGGGGGGCTCAGTGGATAAGAGCGCCTGCTGCACAAGCCTGAGGACCCCAGTTCAAATCCTCAGCATCCTCATAAAAAGCCAGGCATGGCCACATGTGCCTATAACCCGTGTGGGGGGTGTGGTGAGCAGAGACAAGAGGATTCCCCAGGGCTGGTTGGTGGCCAGCTTAGCTCCAGCTTCAGTGAGAGACCCCGTGTCAAGGGAATAGGGTAGAGGGTGGTAGAGCAGGACACTTCTTGTCTTCCTTCAGCCTCCACATGAGTACATGGACTTGTATACATGTGTGCGTTCCTGCCCCCGCAACACACAAAGGAAAAATAAGTGTTCAGTCTTATCAGTATCATTTGGTATTTATAAAGATGATACTTTTCTTTACATTATTCTGGTCATATAAAGCACAACGGCCCCATGTTCATGGGGGTAAACCCAAGCCTTGCTGTCTGTCAAGGGCTCCTAGCTGACTCAGGCTGAAATCCTCTTTTCCCAGACAAACGAGTGGTCAGCTGGCTGGTGGGACAAGTTGGTTAGACTGGATCATGAAGCTCCTGCTATTGAACACTGACATGCAGGCTCCCCTTCCTCCCCCAGTGTGCATGCTCATCTCCCAGTCATTTGCCACAAGCCAAGCTCTCTTTGGCTCTGACTGTGCTGAACGGAGGGCTGTTATCCTTCCATTTAAAACCACGGCCAACATGTACTGTCTTTGATTTTTAGCCTTTGGTTTATTAATGTTTGAGAAGACTGTAACGATGCTACAAAACATTGGAGTGTGGAGTTCTTTGAAAATTTAAGATCTGTCTGCCATTTTGTATGTCATTTTGTTTGTATTTTTTAAAAAATCTGAAAGCATTCAATTCAAATTTTATAGTTTTTTGTTTTTGTTTTTTGTCATATTTGTGTCATTACATTGTTAGTGCAGCTGGTATGAAGAGGTTGGAAGCAGATACAGTTGACCGTGGTCACAAGCACAGCTGACCGTGGTCACAAACAGAGCTTGCTTGCCGGGAGCTGCAGAGGGTACGCAGGAGCAGCTGCAGGCCTTCAGCTGGCCCTGGCCTTTATGTGGCAGACCGTGGAGGGTGTCTGTCCATCCCGGACAAGAGAAATTCTCTCCTATACTTTGAATCAGTCTTGCTGCTACTTATTTAGGATTTCTGCACCTTTGCTAGCGTTGCTTGGGTGTCTTAATTCAGCTTTGATGCCAGAGTTACACCAGCTCCCCGCATGTCTTCCACACCTGCCACTGCTGCCTCTGCTCTGCAGCAGTCACTGCGGCCTGAGGATTGACTTTTCAAATCTCTCTCTCTCCCTCCTCCCTCTCTCTTTCTGTGTGTGTGTTTACATTATAGGCTAGATCTGCATATGAAGGAGAACATGCGGTTTTTCTCACTCTGAGCTTGAATCACCTCACTCACTTAATGCCATACTTTCCAGATTCATCCATTTTCCTGAAAGTGATTTTATTCTTCTTTGTGGTCAAATAAAGCTCCATCCTGTAGATGTGCCACATTTCCATGACCTTCTTGTCCTTTAGTGGTGCGTTTCCCAGTTAGTTGCTATTCACATGTAAATGAAATCAGCCCTTATACATATTTTCAGAATCTTCGCTAAGATTCTTATTAATTCTCCTGACTCAAGTGTTCTGAGTTTTAGTCAGTTATATAATTTGTAATTAATCATTTTTTGTGTGTCTTTTATCTTTATTGTTTCCTTTTCCTGCTTTATTGCACTGACTAGGACCTCTAGGTGGGTGTTTTATGTGATTGATTATTGAAAGTATTCTTTTCTGATCCTGTTTTTTCTTAAATGAATAATTTTGCCTCACAAGGGAATATGAAACTTATGAGATGAATGATGACGAGATAGTTAATGTTCATTATCAGGAATGCTGCTTTATTGAATGCTTTTCATGTAGCTGTTGAAATGGTCATGTGGTTTTTCTCCTTTGTCCTGTTCCTATGAAGCATTTTCACTTATGTTCCTTTTCTTGCAGTTCTGAAGCAGCTTCACATGTCTGAAACATGGCACCCTGGCCACGGCCTATTTTCTTTTTTCTGTGCTGCCAGATTCCATCTGCAGAGATTTAATTCTGTCTGTCTTGGTTTCTTTCTTTTTTTCGTGTGTAGCCCTGGCTGTCCTGGAACTCACAGAGATCTGCTTGCTTCTGCTTTCCAAGTGCTGGGATTTAAAGCATGTGCATGGCCTCAGGATTTCTTTTTGCCTCATTTTTGGTGATTGCTGACTGCTTGAGATGTCTTCCTTAACGCCATTCAGGCTTCAGTGTCTAGGTAACAGTCATCTTGTAAGGAGTTTGGGTGAGAATGAACTTTCTCTGGTCTCCAAGAAGACAGAATAAACCTGGCATCATTGTTGCCTGTGTTTGGCAAACTCACTTGTAAAGCTGTCTAGACTTAGCATTCTTCTTGGGATATTTTAAACTGCTGTTGTAATTGTAAGAATCTTTATAGGACCTCTGAGATTTTCGGCTTCTAGGTGAGTCACTTTTGGTGATTTATGTTTTATAGGAATGTATCCATTTCCTCCCCAAATATTGGCATAGCAATTTTTTTGTAATGCCCTCTCAATTTTTCTAGTTTTTCTTCTCCATCAAGCCATGTCACCTTTATTCCCAGGATTTTATTTTATTATTCTTGTCACTAGTTATCAGATTATTTTAATCATTTTCAAAGAATCAATTTTTGAGTTGATCTTTCATTTTGTTTCCTTATTTCCTAGCTGATTAATATTTTTATTATTTCCTTCCTCCTATTTGGGGTGTTTATTATATTTTTAACCTCTATGTAAACATTGAAGGCTATAAAATTCCTTGTTAAGTATTGTGTTATGCTTCCCACAGGACTTGGCAAGCAGTATTTTTGCCATTTTTCTGTTCTGAATATTTTCTTATTTCATTTTGACACCTGAGTTGTCTGAAAACATTTTGGAAGTTCCTAAATTATGTTTCAATTTATCTTTCTGTTGTTGTTGATACTGGCTTAGCTTAGCTTTACTGTGACCCAGAGGATGAGTCTATGTGTAATAATACTCAGGAATGACCTTTATGGCCCAGGAAAAGGTCCATTTTTATGACCTGTTTGTGTAAGCGTGAAGAATGTTTGTTCTTCAAATGCGTTTTACAGCTATACACCCACTTAAGACACTTTGTTAATGTGTTATCAAAACTTGGGTTCCTTTGTTTTGTTTAATTTTGAAAAACTATGTGTGTGAGTCTGTGTGTGGGTATGTACATATAAGTGTAGGTGCCTGTGGAGGCCAGAAGAGGGTGTCGGATCTCCAGAAGCTATAATTACAGGTGGTTGTGAGCCATCTGACAGGGGTGCTGGGAATTTAACTTGGATTACAAGAGCAATGTGTGCTCTCTCGCTCTCTCTCTCTACACACACACACACACACACACACACACACACACACACACACACACACGTATAGTTTACTGTACACAGTACACAGGGCTACAGCCCTGGCTGTCCTGGAACTTGCTGAGTAGACCAGGTTAGCTTCAAACTCAACTCAACTGCCCCTGCCTCCTGAGGCCTGGGATTAAAGACATGTGTCACTCCACCTGGATTCTCTAGTCTTTAAAAACGCATCATCCTG